TGAGTGAACCAAAGAGGTCCACTGCCAGTAGGAGATGCACCATTCTTCAATTGAGCTTGAAGAGGGGCCATGCCTCTATAAAGGGCAGCCAAAAACAAAGAACATAAATTCAAAGGCCTACCACGCGCCAGTTCGTGCGCTATAGGTAGATAACTCAGAGAGGGCTTTATACTAGGCACGCATAATACATATTTACAAAGCCAAACTAAAAGGAAGGCCACTCGCTCAGCATGAGTAGGCTCAGCACTCGAATGATTGTGGAGTGTCTGCAGGCTTGAATAAGAATCGGTATAGTTTTTACCGAACTGAGGGGCGCCACCAAAAACTAAGATGCCTGGGAAAATGGTATCGCCCAAAGGTGGTAAATTTACTAGGGCCCCAACATCCCTTAACGTAATAGACATGGGGCCAAGAGGAAAAATAAAGGTGTTATATTCAGAGGACCAAAAGCTCAGAGCAATCGGAAAAAGCGCTGAATCAAAAGTAGGGGGGCGAATATAGACTTCCAACAAATCAGAAATTCTAGCGCTATCAAAAAGTGCCTTAGTAAGACCATGACCCACAAGACGAGCATGCCACCTACGAAAAGCTACGTCAGATTTGGGCCAAGTGCGAATACCTCTTTCACGAAGTGGCCCCAGCGGCAAAGAATTCAGAAAAGGAGGGCCATGAGTGCAAGGAAACAGCTGACCCACCGTCGCCTGTTCAACTGCCTCCGCATTGTTGAAGAAAGGACCCAAGTAAAACTCATTACGTCCAACGTCGGCGGGTGCGAGAAAACTTGGGGTTACGTATGGACGACTCAGGAGTCTCTGAAAGTCATCAAAATTAAAGGAGTCGCTAGCTTGAGATGACGAAGTAGCCATTGAAGAAGGAACGAAGCTTTTCAGAGTTACGTGAATCGTGAAGAATGCGCAAGAAATATGAAATGTGATTTGGTAGCAGCAAAATGGTGTGTTTGAAGTTTATAAGGGTTCGCAAAGCGACGCACATTTTCAAGTTATAGAGGGAAACAATGATTGAAATTCTTTGGGAATCGCTAACGTTGCTGGAGACGTGAAGTGAATATGGCAAAATTCAATAATTATTATTAATTCTGCCATATTGGGGGGTAATTGTTGACACATAAAAATTTAGCCCAAGTCGAACAGCCCAAGGAGTAAAGCCTAATTGGAGAATCCCCAAAACAGACAGCCCAAAGAATGAAGTTCAATCAAACGAGTCAAGGTGAAGGCCCAAACAAGAGGCCCAAGAATGCGGTAATGCCATCGCCCAAGTTTGCAAGTCGCTCAGAATCTGAACGAACGGGTGTCATACGGTCGCCCAGAGCTGTTATTCTACTCTCGCCCAAACCTTCAAGTCGCCTAAGGTGTCAACAAACATAACGCATCGTAATTATCAAGGAATGCAGTTATCAAGGCAGTTACTCAAGGAAGTCAATCGAAGGCAGTTGGACGATGAAAGATAATGACAGCAGTTAAAAGGCGGTTTCATGACAAAATGGCCACTACAAAGAAAGTGGGTAGTTATAGGACGATCAAGCAGTTTTCAGAGTAGTTAATCACAAAGAGATCGTCTATGAGGTATAAAAGGGAGAAAAGGCGTAGAAGCAAAGGACTGAATCCAAAACTCTCGAACAAGAGAATATGTAATTTTCATTTCTTTAGCTTTTAGACTTAAACACTTTCCTTTCTGTAACTCGTGTGCTTGCGCCCCTTGGAGGCACGTTGTTTTTTCGTTTCCAATTGTAAAGTTCATCGCCAATAAAAGAACACCCCTTTTTGGGACTTTGTTTCAAGAGGTTTCGCCCCTTACACAATCGTCTGATCCCCTTTAATTGTTAGCGAGTTAACCCGCGCGAAACAATATTGATGGAAAATGTGAGTTAAAAAATAAGGAAATATTTTGAATTTGTGCGTAATATTATTTTATTGTTGAAATGATGTCAAAATACTGTTAAAAATATATTTTTTTTCCAAAAAAGGGGCTCAAACCACTGCATAATATATATTTAACATATGTATTCATTATATTTTTCTCTTTATATATTATAATTTAGATATATATACAATTGATATACATTATTCTCTCTATTGCCACGTGGACGATCAGTCACCAATTTCTTTTTCAATTATGAATTTATTTTTAGGGAAGAAGTTGAGGTGAGGGTAAGGGTGGTGGAAAATAAAGTTTTAAAAATTTGAGATTATAGGTAGCACAAACAAAAATTTTGGATTTTATTTGTAAAAAAATAAATAGATTGGATACTGAAATCTTAACGATAATAATTTTTTAGCATAGAAGGTTTCAAATAAAGAGGTTTTCTGCAATTTCTAATAAGTAGGTGATATATCACACAGTGAAACGTTTATAGGTTTTTGCTATTAATTGTTTAAATTATTAGGTTTGACAAAAAAATTATTAATTTAAATTTAGAGAAAATAATGGTGTCATGGCCTAAAATTATTAACAATTACAAAAATACCCTCAGAAATATAAGATGAAGTTTACATTTTATAATAGTTTTCTCATAGATAGCAAAAAAGAAAACATATTTCTTAGTTGAACTTTTTGGTTTATATTATTTTGAAATTCTTATTACGTCATATTATTACTATATATTCATTTTAAGAAAAAGAAATTATATCAATGAGATCGCTTGTTTAAGAAAAAGAAATTATTCTTTGATTAATTAACATTTTCTCTAATTTTTATTTTCAATATTCTAAACACATATACTGTATTAAATTTAAATATTAAAATGTCATTTCGATAATGCAAATAATGATATACCAATAAAGTCACCATCAAATGTTTAGAGTTTTAGATTTTTTTATTTTTTTTAATTTCCCTTTTCTAGTAAATATTTCAGATTCATTTTAATTTAATCATTTTTAATGATTACAATGAATCATTTGCAGTATAAAAAGAATAACTTCTCTAAAATAAACAATTTTGTTAGGCTAATTTAAAATTAAGCAAAAGATAATAAGAAAAAAAAGTGTAGTATAATATAAACATAAGAAAAAATGGTAAAATTAGAAAATTATGTTAAGAGTCGAGGTTCGTGTAAATTTAAAATAAGTGGGGCCATGTTTGTATTTTTTTCAAACCTCAGGGAGATGTATGTAATTTATTCTAAATTCTATAATATATAATTATTTCAATCAGACTGCAGAACAGAACCCATAGAGCTAAGCCATCGTAGACTATTTCAGTATTTCTAAAAAAATTCTATCTTTGGATCCCTTTGCCTTTTTTTCCCCCAACGAAGAGCAAAGGCCGGTGCGAGCAATGGGTTTCTTTTCGTTTCTTGGAAGACTGTTATTCGCTTCCCTCTTCATCCTCTCTGCATGGCAAATGTAAAAAAACCTTTCTTGCTCTATCTGTGTGTGTACAGATCCGTTATTACTTATTATGCATATTTCTGTATATGTATGTATAATTGTTAATCCATCTTTTTATATTTGATTTATTAACTTTGTTTTGTATGGTCGGATCTAGTTCTTGTTTTGGGGGGGGGGGGGGGGGGGGAAAAAAAAAAAAAAAAAAAAAAAAAAAAAAGAAAAAAATAGAAATAAAGAAAAAGAAATCGAAAATCCCAGCTTCTGATTTTTTTCAGTCTGTAATTTGTCTATGTTATGTGTTATTAGTACACTGAAAAATATTGATTATGATATGGTTAATATTTCTTATTTATTGTACCCTTTTCGGGTCAAGTAGGAGGAGATCCTTTTCCAGGAAAGACACAATACTTCATAGCTGCAATGGGTATGGGTAGAAATCATAAATGGGCTCTCTTGCCTTTTCATATTTTACATATTTTTAGAATTGCTTTTCTGATTTTTGAACAAATATTAACGAGGGATGATTTCTACCTAAATATAATTTATCATTTGTTATAAAAGAAAAATAATGATAAAAAACTAATGTTGGCTTTGAAGATTTTCTTTTTCATTAGTTTTCAGTGAAGTCCACAAGTTTCTAAACTAGGACCAGATAACCCAAATTTGGTGTTTGTCTTGTTTTTCATTATAAATTCCTTTAGTTCAACATTTGCAATATTCTACAAAACCAGCCTCGCTATTAAGGTTCATAAATCTAAACAAACATTTCAAAGTTATTGCCGCCTTTGACTTTTATACGAGGACTCCATCATGGTCGAGACACTTTATCTGAGTATTCCAGTGAATGTTTGGCTAACTAGCTTAAAAAATCACTTATTAGTGAAAAGCAAGTTTTAGAATATCTTTTTGAAGATTCTTTGCATCCTTCTAATGGTAAGGAATGATAAATATTAGCTTAGATTAAGATATGTGTTGGCATTTGGAAATTTTCATTCAGATTCTGCCTTATAATAGCAGTCTAATTGTGACAGCCTTCCATCTTTGTAAATTGCCGAGAGAAATCACCCACATATTATTGAAAACACATGACCGTTATTCCTTTTCTACTGAAAACACCTTTTTAAATGGTATTTCTTCTAAGAAACACGGATGTTTAATTCTTTACACCACTCACCCTACCCCTAACCCCATCAAAATGTTTATTTATCTGTGTAGATAGATGTATTCATTTGCAATGATTTACATGCATCGTAATGTTCGCAACAATTGTTTAAGAAGAATTCAGTTAACAAAGGACTAAAATTTATTATGGTTTGATAAGATTATAGTGAATTTGATTTATCTTTGTGTGGATAGTAATGGATTTTTATAACCCTGAGGGTAGCTTAATGGTCATGTCTTGTATTTGCTCCTTAATGGTCACCAGTTCGAGTCCCCTTAGAGTCACTGAGGTGAGTATTCAGCTGTAAACTTCAATGCCCTATGGGATTAGTCGAGATGCGCATAATCTGGCCCGAATACCCACGGTCATTAAAAAAAAAAGAAGGATTTTTATTGCATTGATTTACAAGATCATTGACCTGAAGATATGTGTAATGACCTACTCAATAAAATTGCTAATTCTTTTCTTCTTAAATAAGTAGAAAGTAATTATTTTACTATTCTGATGTAGCTAAGGACTAGTTGTTTACATTTTCATGAAAACACAAACTGAGAATTTTCAATAATTATGACCTCAGATATCATATGATTTTTGATTTAGCATTGACTTCACCACAAGAATGCTTATTGGTGTTCTTATGTGAAATATATTTGGAATAGTAATATTACATAGCCCTTGTTTGAGCCCCATCATAAAGAGAAATTTTTGTAAAATGTATTATGGATTAGTGTTTTTTGGGAGAATGTGTGGTTAAAAAAGAATGGAATTTTTTTGATTTATGTATAAAATGATTTTATTGAAGAATGTGTGGTTGAAAAGAAGAGAGAGAAAAATGTATTAAAATTTTAAAGATGGTCAAACAAGGGCATAATTGCATTTCTTAATTAGGGATGTTGCATTAGGATGAGTTATCCGGCTTCAGCATATTTGCTAAATACATTTGTATCCTGAAATGGTCAAGGGATTGGTTTTCTTGTTCCTGTTCAAAATGCATATTCTATTTCTTGGTCTGAGCTTTTCACTGCCAAAGTTTTATTAGAGCAAGATACATGTTTCAGGTTGCAATTATTAGGAATAAACTTTACTGAATCCTTTAGTCAACTTCCTGAAGTGTTAATGTGTGATACTACGGAAATAAATTTTCCTCGCAATGAGAGATTTACATGTTCAAAGTGAAAATTTCCTGGGAGTTCATGTGATAGTTGCTTTGGCTTCTTCACCATTTGATATTTTCCAGCCTTGAGATTCTAAAGAAATTAAATTGGTGAATGCAAATTCAAGATCCTGGTAGACAAATTAAATGCAGTTAAGCAGGTTCTTTTTGCATTTTGTGACTATGCCTCGTTCCGATGATGGTGAGGCCTAATTGTGATGTCATTTAAGCTGATAGTTGGGTAGTGATGATGTAGCTAAAGTTTTCTGGTGGATTCATATCGAAAGTAGGCATTTACTGCATGATTCCTTTTTTTCTTTTTTTAAATTACTGATTTTCCTGATTATCTCTCACATTAGATTAAGTTCCTATATCTGTCTATTTATTGTTTACACGGCTTTTAATCTCGTTTAACTGTTCTTCTCTTGGAACGCAGACAAATAAATCAATTCATGCGTTTCTGTTTTTATGACCAACAATTGTTTCTTGATTTTCATTTCAAATTGTTCGTGGACTCTTTATTGATATGGGGTGATCGTAACACAGTATATGAGATTCGCACCTTCAAAATTGACATTGAAGTGCTATTCGGAAGAATTGCCTAGATTCTTTCTTTGGATAGAGATCGGAAGAAGCGGGCTCTTCAATCAAGTTTATTCAAATCTTTTCAACCTGATATATTGGTTGATTATCCTGCCTAATACTCTTTAACACCAATTTCTATATTGATTCATATTAAGCCCCTGTTTGGTATTGATTAAAATCAAGATTTTAATCTAAATCAAGCGCAATTTTAACCGTCCATTTCAAAAACTTTTATAAAAATTTACTTAAAAACTGATTTTAATCCATACCAAACAGGGGCTAAGTAAAATACTCATACTAAAACGTGTGTAATTTTAGTTCACTCTTAGTACTTTTGTAATTTTTAGTTCATTTCCTATATTCCTGCCAATAAAGGTGAAATTTCTTCTCTAATCCAAAACTGGTGAAATTTAATCTTTCGGTTATTTAATTCCATGATTGCATCGAAGAGCGTGGCTATTCCTAGTTGCGTGGGTCTTATTTATTTACAAAAACTTTATTGTTCTTTTCTTTTTATAAAATATGGTTTTAACTGTTTAGGTTCAATGATTTTGGAGAAGATGGTGGGCCGGCAGCAAAAGAATGGGCAGCCAAATTAGTTACTGTCGAGAAATTTCTAGCTTCTACCTTCGGGAAAGGCGCTTTAAATATTGATGTACATTTCCAATATGTTTGATTTGCCCTTTGTTTTCCTTCATATTTTAGAATAGTGTTTCAATTCTTTTTGTCTGTTCATGTTTGGAGATGCTACTTGCAGACTAGGCATTTTGTTGCTGCCTGTATTGTTCTAAAGGGTTTGGGGGGCCTTTTATTCGTATTTGGCAGCTCCACTGGTGCTTACCTTCTGGTTAGTTTCTGTCACCAATTATCTCATAATATTTGACCTTTGTCTTTTCATTTGTTGAGAAAATTTGAAACATGAAATTTCGTCCATTTGACATTTATTTTGTTACTATAACCACGATTATTCTTACCGCAGATTTATTACTTGATATTTGCCACTCCCCTTCTGTATGACTTCTACAACTACAATGTTGGAGAGCCAAAATTTTTCAGACTCTTGTCAGAGTTTATTCAGGTACTTGCAAATACTAATTGAACAATCGTGCTGTCGACTCACTTTTTGAGGTAGTTTTCGTGATGGATGTGAAACGTTTTGTAATTGGATTTACATTTCTTGGCAGTCCATCGCTCTTCTTGGTGCGTTGCTATTTTTTCTAGGGATGAAGAACTCTATTGTGAGGAAACAACTCAAGAATAAGGCCGCCCCTAAACAGAAGGCATCTTAGATATATCAAAGAAGAGACTCTGGAACACGGTCTAAAATTAGGATTCTAAGCAGGTGCTATATCAAGTCTTTAAACTGGAATTATCCGTCTCCACGACGATATTTGATGTTGTAGCATGTTTTCCTTTAGTTGATTTTAGTCTGGGAAGGAGCTGTTGATATGCAAACATTCATTTTGTTTCCTTCTATTTCACAATTTTAATTCTCCCCTGTTGCGATATTAATACTGTTGGATTCTTAAGGTATGCTTCCTAATGAGAAATAACAATGAACAGACATTTTTACGTGTTTTTTCATTAATTCTATTTGTTTATGTCTAGTTCAACGTGCCACTTGATGTCTTTATAGGTACTCTGATGGATGATGTACATAGCTTCTTGTTAAGTCCAGGAAATCGTGCAATATTTGAGCATACATAAGGATGCCTTTTGTATTTTTAGGACTCCAACCCTTGCTCCTAGGAATAATGCGATCTAGCACCAATGGTGTTAGAACACTGAACTATGTGGTCATACTTGATAAGTCCAATTAAATGGATCATTTGACGTTGCATTTGAATAAATATATCATTTAATAACATATAGTTGCAACTTAAAATTTTACGCACTAATGGGGCTGAATAACATTATTCTACTTGTCACTTAGGTGTTAAGCACCAATGAGGTTGAATAGCATTACTCTACTTTTAGAGGAGGCTCGAATCCAGGTCAATGACCTAATAAATTTTCAATTGCAGTTCAGTGATTAAAAGTGCTTTTAACCCGTTAAAACAGTTTTGGGTGTCCCAGGTATAATGTTGTAATCCAAAACATGCCGATTACCATAAAGTAAAGTTCTTGGAAGATCAAATGCAACTGTAATCTTAGTAACAGCAACCATGTTAGTTTTGATCTACCCCATCGCACTATTGCTCTGGCAAAGGAAAACCCTTTTGTATTTAAATAAGACATGTCCTGAAATTGAAAATTACTAAGCTGAAACTTAGGATTGGTGTCAGATTCCAAATTCTTCTGCTTGTTCAGCTTTCTCTTTTTCAGCAACAATATGCTGATACAAACTAAGATCAACCCAACTAAAACATCCATTTCTCTTTTAGCAAACCTTCTTTGCATTTCACAGCCAGTTCCAGCTAAACACTCTGCATCTCTGCACATTCTAAAGCTGTAATCCACAGTACTCTTTTACATGATTCTATAACACCACCTAACATTTTAACGGGTAATTAGTACAAAACGTCTTTACCTTTCATGATTTTTGCAAAAAACGTCTTTACTTTTCATTTTTTTTTGTGCATTTCATCCCTACCTTTACCTTTTCTTGTGCAAAACATCATTTTCAGCATTTTTCTCAATAAAAAGCTATAAAATGACTAATATACCCTTCTATTTAAATAAAAAAAAACAAAAATAAAGAATTAATTGGAATCATAGTCCCAATTTTTAAAAGGTTCAAAAGAGTCCCAAATAAAAAAAATTCTCCACCTCTTCCACCACCAATTTTCGTTAGCTGCCCTGGCCATCGGAAACTACCCTTCATGCCGATGGCCTCTTATCTATAGCACAATTCAACAAACAACCAATCGAAAAATCCAATTTAGAGACAGAAATTGGTGGAAAACAACCCCAATTTTTCGTGCCCTATACAAATCGATTCCGCCTCATGGCCGTCCATTGCCACTGGTCATCTCCCTTTATCTATGCAAACGTCATAATGAATTGACATCACCAAAACAAGCCTTAAATATTGTTGAATTTTTTAGTAAAACAAGTCTGGTTCGCGGGCACAATAAGACACTGCTAGCCTATTCCAATTTATGGGTCCCAAGCCATTTTTCCACCAAATTGCCCCCAGTCGAGCGTCCAGTAGCCTCATAAGCCCTTGGGTGTGCATTCAATTGATTCAATCCAACCTCCAATCGATCCAATTTTTCAAAGCAATTCTGCAAATTCTTCTAGGGCATATGTGCTTGCGCTTTCTCCTCCTATTCCTCCTCTCTCAGTTCCACACCAATTCTCTTTCCAGAGGACTCTTCACCCGTAGAATCCTCCATATTTTTAGTCACAAGGGCCACCATTGACCAAGGATTATTCACACTTGATGAAACCCAGTAATACTTATGGATATGGTAATGGACCTTACGGTTGCAATAGTAATTTTATAGCCGGAGCTAGAACTAGAGCATTAGCTCCACATCAGCTTGGAAATAGTGTAGATGCAAAGGGTAGATGGGGTTGGGGTTGAGCGAATAGTGTTTGAATCGATGCTAGTGGTCCAAGGGATGACTGTAGAAAAACGACTCAGGCTGTTTGGTGTGAACATAGATTGTCCCATATTGTCTTTATTCGGGACTCTTTTGAACTTTTTTTAAGAATTGGGACTGTGATGCAATTAGTTCTTTAATTTTTTTTATTTAAATAGAATGGCATATTTGTCATTTTATAACTTTTTATTGAGAAAAATGATGAAAAAGATGTTTTGCACAAGAAAATGTAAAGGTGGGGATGAAATGCGCCAAAAAACAAAAGGTAAGGACGTTTTTCACAAAAATCATGAAAGGTAAGGACGTTTTGTGCTAATTACCCCATTTTAACCGTAGTTTTATTATCATTACAAAATTTACATCAAAGCCTCAAATACATTAACAATCAAGACTTCCTAAATGTCAAAATACAACATGGCTTATTGAAAACTAAGTTATGTTGTTGTACGAGGTATTGGACAAGATTGGAGTCATTGGACAAAGATTAAACAAGGGACGCATATGAGATTTTTATTCGCCATCGTATTCAATTGCTTCTACTTTAGCTTGCTAAATATGGGTTAAATCCACCAATAATCACCTAACTTTATACAATATACTTGGATTCACTATGGTTACTCAATTTGATTTTGTTTCACTATTGTCACCCAACTTTATATTTAGTGTCATTATGACCGCCCAATTTGATTTTATTTTAGCATGATCACCAAATTTTATATAACATTTCACCATGGTAATTCAACTTTTTTTTTACCATTTTCACTAATTTTAAGAGGGGTAAAATGATAATTTTGCATTATATATAAAAAAATAAATTAAAAAATAAAATTATTTTTTTTAATTTTAAAAATGTTTTTTCAAATAAATTTTTATTTTATTTTATTCTTCTAACTAACGATTTTTTAAAAATAAGCTTTTATTTCATTTTAAAAACATTTTTTATGGTAAGTTTTTATTTTATTTCATAAGGATTTTTTTTACAATAACCTTTTATTTTATTTTATTTTTCTAAGTGACTTTTTTTAAATAAAATTTATTTTATTTTAAAAACAATTTTTAATTAAGCTTTTATTTTATTTTATTTGTTAAGTAACGTTTTTTTAAAAAATATTTTTTTATTTTCTTTAAGTAATATTTTCTAAAATAAGTTTTTATTTTATTTTATTTTTTAATGATAAATATTTATTTTATTATTTTTTTAATATATACTGTAATGTTACCATTTTACCCTTTTAAAATTAATGAAATTGTGAAAAGAAGTTGAGTGGTTATGATGAAACATTACATGAGATGGTGAAAAAAAAGTTGGGTAGTTATGATGAAACATTATATGAAATTGGGTGATCATGATGAAATATTATATAAAGTTAGAAGGCCATGGTAAAATAAAATAAAATTGGATGATCATGATTACACAATATACTCCCCATCACGGACTAACTTTTTTTTATTTTCTTGTCCCAATTATATTGTATTGTTTCTTTATTGAAAATGTTTTTTTTTTTTTTTTGTTTACTAATATACTCTTATTTCATTTGCCTGGTTATAACTGATTTTTCCCATTTAATCTTAAAGTTGTATAAATATAAATAAGGGTAACTAGAAAAGTTTATAAAAATTGTTTTTTTAATAACAATAAACAAGATTTCTTTATCTGTGTGAAAAACAAAATTAATCTATATAAATTGGACGGAGAAAGTATAAAGTTGAGTGAAATCAAATTGAGTGACAATGGTGACACCAAGTATAAAGCTTGGTGACCATTAATGGATTTAACCATGCTAAATATATATCCCAACTACTGAACTACATGTATAATGCACAACGTTTTAGCTTCTTTTTGCTCTTTAATAACATTATCTAGTGTCATTCGGTCTAGATCTTGAAAGGGTCAGCCCGCGTACTTCACACACTCTTATTTCATAATCATTTGGGACTGAAACCGGTTCGAATTCGATCCATTCATAATATTTTTCTAGAAAAATCGGTAGCTGACATTATAAATTATCTTCACAACATATAGAAAACTAGGAAAAAATATAACGAACAATCAAATACACATTTTAACGTTTTCTTAATCTAATGTAAATTTATGACGCTATATAACATCCAATATCTAGCAAAATATGTGATCAAAAAGCATCTAATGTCGCATTGTCGCATAAACACCAGATTATATACCCAAACAACAAACCAAAAATTAAAAACAAACAATAAAAAGTAGTAGAACATACAAATGCTAACATAAAATAAATTCATTCCCCTGCATACAAAGTGAAAAAGAAAAAATTAAATAAAACCCTAATAAAGACGACCATTTCGGTTCAAGAACCAAGAACCATTTGAGATTCGATTGGTTCTCGATTCTTAATTAATTCCTATTCCGATTAAAATCCCACCCATAGCTGCCTCACAACATTATTCCCATTAAACATGATAAGAAATTATTATTTCTCAAAGCTTTGAAGGTAAAACTTTCTCATCTTTCAATCCCAACAGCCCACACAGCTCTGGGTACAAAGCCTTCCTTATTTCTGCATAGACCTTACCATCCCATCTCTTTTTGGCCAATTCGTCACATAGGCGCATTGCAGTCTCCACCGCCTCTTCCGGGCTAGGGTACGCTGAGTCCACGATCCCCATTTCTACTGCCTCCTCAGCCTTCACTTTTGCGGCCCGTAACACCAAGCTACGCCGCGCTGAAGCAGATCCGATCTTGGATCGTATTAAAGCCGTGAAGTAATCGGGCAAGGTCATCCCTATGTCCAGCTCACTCATGTACATCACACTCCTTGATGCCGTCATGGTGACATAGTCGTGGCTCATGGCTAGTATCAAGCCGGCGGCAGCGGCGTGACCCCCGACGGCGGCGACTGTGGGCATCGGTAGGGTTAGAAAATCAGAGACGACGCCCTTGAACAGGTCGACCATCCGGAGTAATTCATTCTTGGCTGCTTGAATCGAGCCTGATTTAGCGCCGACGGCTTGAGCGTGCCTTAAATCAAATCCATTGGAGAAGAATCTCCCTTGAGCCAGCGTGATGAGAACGGAGCCGGCGACGGCTTGCGACTTGGCTTCGGCCAAAGCCGATCGGATGGATGATATAAGAGCTGGGTTTAAGCGATGCTCATCTTTGTTGTCGCCGGTTAACGTTAAGATAAAAAGGTTGCCGCACTTCTCTAACGTGCACATGGTGGTTGCGAGGTGACGATTAGAGAGAGAATTGTCAATTTTGGTACATAAGAGATTGCATGATAACAATATAATAATCTTTAAAAAGTGTGCATTCCAAGATACTAACTTGCCGGTCTTTTATTATCTAGAAGAATTGCCCCAACCTTTATCTTCTATTCTAATTGCTCCTTTATTTTCTTTTTAATTACTACTACTTTTTTTTTTCTATAATTGTTCGACTATAAAATTTGCAAGATGGTTTGTGGGGTTTCCATTAGGTTTTGCAACAATAATCAATTTTAGCACAATGGTTTGTAGAAAATACTTCCCGAAAATCTAAATTCTTGATCGATGGATCAGAAGATTCTTTCAGTTGGCTAGAATGAAACCAAAGTTTTATGTTCGATTTTGAATTAGAGACGTTCAAAATGCTGGAATGACAAGCAGCTCTAGATTCAAGAGCTCTTGCTATAACCTAATTTTGACCTCCATTAGAATTAGCTTTTGGAAAAAAAAAAATATTTTATAATAGTGATTTTTTTAAGAAAGTATCGTTAAAAAAGAAGGAAATATTTTGAATTTACGTATAATATTATTTTATTAAATAACATTGATTGAAAAGAAGATAAAAAATGTATTTTGAATTTAATGAAGCCCAAGGATGGACTCGAGATTTTGCTTCATTGGGGTGAGGCAAAATTACTTTAAAAAATTCAAATTAGACAAAAAAACGATAATATTCAAAACGCAGTACTTTTTTAAAAATTGTTTCTTGCGGCTTTTCGTACTTTAAAAACGTCGTATAATACTCTCGTTATGAATTTCATTAAATACATCTTTTTGAACATACACAACTAAACTATAATTTATCCATTGGTCTGCAATCTGACTACACAGTCGATTCTTCACAATATTCGTTTAAAAAATATCTCAACATATCTTTCTACAAATTAACCAAAGCTTGCATAAATATAAAATATACTAACAGTGAAACGAAAAGCCAAGATATGAACATTAAGAATTGAGATTGCAAACAGCAAAGTTGAAAGATGAATTGCAACAAAGAGGGCAACTGGGTAGATAATACTAAGAGGGGCAAAATATTCCATTATGCCTTAATTCCAAATCAAGTTGAAATTGGTATAATCATCATTCATCAGACGCTATTTTTCAAACTCATTCAAGTGAACTACTCAATTTCGTTAAACAAAGATTAAATATAAGGTGAAGTCCCAAGTCCGCCACTCTAAAGCATACTAGTCATCTTGGCTCAAAGCAGACAAAGCATATAGTTAAGGTATTTACGAATGTCTCAAGTCCGCCACTCTAAAGCATACTAGTCATCTTGGCTCAAAGCAGACAAAGCATATAGTTAAGGTATTTACGAATACAAGGAATGGATCTAATGGTGAATCATATGTCTTCACTAGTCTAAAGGATGATTGGACGAAATTGGAACTCTCACTGACCTGGTTAAATTACACATATGACAAATGTGGAATTAAAACATGCATATTTTTAGGATTTAATTCAAATACCCAGAAGCTTAAATCTGTATCTGTTCTTTTTCTTCTTCTTCCTCTTTCAATGCTAAAACTTAAGATTAAGAAAGAGAGATTGATTACCTAATTTTGCTTCTTCAATCTTCTTCTTCCTCTTTCAAAATATCGTGAATCGGAGTCCAGAGATTGGAATAAAGCTGAAGAAATCGCATCGTCGTTGCACACACAGGTTCGTTCGCACTTCACAGGGCTTGAGAATCTGGAGAAGCCGGGAACTGGAAGGGAACATTTGGGATTTTTTTAATGTTACTTGGGTTAAATTTATGGGCTACTATTAATCTATATATGGATTTTTTATCAATGTTAAAAATTAAGAATCCAATGGGGTCAATTGTTAAAAATTAAGGGTTCAATGGGGTCAATTAAAAATGTGGAAATTACAGCTCACTCTACTATTTAAGATCTCAATTCTTAAATCAGGTGAGGTGTTTCATCTTTCAAAAATCAGAAATATTTCTTCTCTCCAATCTAATTCTCTCTCATTCTACACGTTTTCTTTCTCTCCCACACAAATTTATTTTCTTTCCAATCTCCTTCTTTCTCCATTATTTCTCCTATCATTTTCTCTATCCCTCCTCTTCTTCTCTCAGATCGCCTCCAATCTCCTTCTCTCTCCATTATTTTTCCTGTCATTTTCTCTCTCCCTCTTCGTCTTCTCTCAGAACACCCTCCCCAGCCGGCCCAATTGATAATGAACTAATCACCTAGAAATATAAGATTAGAAATCAAATATGGCACTGAGCTAACCATTCACGGCGTCGATCTATGGCTATCGTGGATCTGTGACGGAGTTCGTTGCAGCGTTGCCGACCGATCTGTGGTGTTGGTGTGCATCAACGACTTGGTGTTGGTGTTGATGTACGGTGGCGTTGACTTGGCGTCTGTCGTCCATTATCTGTTTATAAATGATCCCAAATGATTTTTTCCCTCTGATATGTTGCTTAGCAGATCCAAGTGGAATGGAAATGTGGGGAGCACCAGGGTAGCTCTCGTCGTCGACCGATCTGCAAATTTGTGGAGGTGTGTGGTTTTGGCCAGAGTTTTGTTGGTTGCGATATGGGGAAAGTTTGGTCACGATCTAGTTGCTATCCAGTGCTGTTTGCGATGCTCTGAGGTTCTGGTGGATTGGAGGTGGTTATGGTGGTTTAGTTGGTGGCAGTTTAGAATGTTTAGTTGATTTTGTGATAAAAAATTTGACTCGTGACCTGAAAATTGGGATTCAAAGTTGGTGGTTATGTAGGTCATGGCGGTAATTGTGGCGATTTGGTTGATTTGTGACTAATAATTGAATATGTGACCTGAAAATTATGATTGCGACTCCCAATTGTGACTCACAATTGATAAAGTTGAAACAGAAACATTAATCGTGTCCAACTAATCAAATAATTTGCAATGAGTAAATAAGTTGTGACCAATAAAAATTTTGAATCTGTGACCGATGAATAATCTGTTGCCTATAAAATTTTGAATTCGTGACAAAAAAATATTATGTGATCTATAAAATTTTCGATTTGTAACCAAGAAATAATTTGTGACCAATAATTTAATAAGTTGTGACGAAAAACTAATCCGTGACTAATTAAATAATTAATTGTGAAAAAAAAAATTGTGACCTTGAAAATGGTGATGATTTTACGTCTAAAATTCTATATATGAAAGAGTCCGCTCACATAAGGAAACTGAACCTTGATTTCGGGGAATGATTGTAATGGTTTCTCTCTCTCCAATCTCCATGTCTCTCCTTCTATATATATATATGTAGGTCAGATTCTTTGTGATTTGAAAGATCAAACTATATTTCTTACCATCTGAGATATGAAATTCTCCCATTAAAAATTAAGAATCCAGTGGAGTCAATAGTTAAAAATTAAGGGTTCAGTGGGGTTAATACAATAGTTAAAAATTAAGGGTTCAATGGGGTCAATTGTATTGACCCCACTGAACCCTTAATTGGTCCACCTTTGATGAAGCCCAAACATGGGCTTGGTCTTCAACTTTTATTTTTGACAATGTCGACTTGACATTTCATTTTTCTACCCATGCTCCTAATTTCTAATTTTTTCTAGAAAAAAAATATGAAAGAAGTGTCGTGTAAATCTAAAAATATTTGAACACTTCTAATCCCTAGTTTTTATCTAGAAAATTACCATTAAAGTCAGGGACGGATCCAGGATTGGATCCAAGATCGAACTATAAAATTTCAAATCGGGCTGCTACGTGAAAAAAAATTTACACATAAAAAATTGATTTTTTACCAAAAAAAACCTTTAAAACAAATTTGTTGGGCCTGAGAAGGGGGGAGGCTACAGCCCTACCCTGCTCCCCCAATCCGTCCCTGATTAAAGTAGTTATTAGACTAGGAGATCCGGAATAAATCATAGTTTATTGAATATCGATTCTAAAGAAAATGAATGTACAAAGCTCTATAAATGGCCGCAAAATTTGGCACCAAAATGATTACCAACTGGACAACTAACTGACTGCATGAGTGCCAACTAACCAACTAACTAATCGAAATGAAAATGAGTTAGCTATGTATAGTGCTTTTACATACAATTCCTAATACTCCCCCTTGAGATGTACGGTAAATGTTCTTTACCGACATTTTGGACAGTAGAGAGAAAATAACATATGCAGGAAGCAACTTGGTGAAAATATCGGAAATATGATGTTTTGACCGAATCAAGAGCAATTTAATAATGCCGGCTGCAAGTTTGTCTCGAATGAAGTTGCAATCGATTTCAATATATTTCGTCCGTTCATGAAATACCAGATTGGTGGCAATCTAAATGACAGCTTGATTGTCACAAAACAAAACAGCTGGATGATCTACATAGGTCTAAAAATCCTTGGGCAATCGATGGATTCAAATGACTTCACTGGTGGTGGCAACCATAGCTCTTTATTCGACTTCAGCTGAAGAACGAGACACCATCGTCTACCGTTTAGCTCGCCAAGCAATTAATGATGCTCCAAGGAAAATGCAAAACCTAGTGGTGGATTTTCTTGTATCAAGGCAAGACTCCCAATTGGCATCGGAAAAGGCTCAAAGCTTGAGAGAGGATTGTAAATCAGAAGATGCAAGAATAACAGGCCTTGATCGAAAGTGCCTTTAAAATAACGAAGAAAATGGTGTACTGCTTTGAGTTGAGGCCGTCTAGGCTGGGACACATATTGGCTCAACTTGTGGACGACAAAGGTAAGATGTGGTTAGGACATTGTTAGGTTCCCAATCAGTCTACGATAATGAAAACCATTTGGTAGACGGTCACCTTCATAAATGCTTATAGAAACATTGGGATCCATAGTAGTAGTTGTTGACTAGCAATCAAGATAACTTGAATCCTCAAGCAGCTGTGGAGCATAATGTCTCTGTGATATGAAAACTCCAAAACTAGAACGAGCAACTTCAATATCGAAGAAGTACTTCAACTACCCTAGATCCTTAAGTTTGAACTGAGAGTGCAAAAACTTCTTTAATGAATCAATAACTTGAACTGACACGACCCGTCCCAAATTTTCCTAATGGATCCAACATGCGTCATGCGCCGATGGTAGATACCAACGAAGTGCCGGACCCACCACCAAGGCAAACTTGACATGCTTTGACTGTTATAATTTTATAAAAATTTCGGTAGAGTTCCCTCTGAAAAATGGACTAAAACCACCTGAAAATAAAATCAAACATCCCAAACATGTACATATAGTTTAAAACAGGGTACACTGGCCCCTCAAAATATCAATTATTCAAATACAACACTGGCTATTCGACTTTTGCAACAATTTCTAAACCACAATACCCAAAATGCATAATATATATACAAAACATAGCTGAATTCTGAAAATCGACATATAGTATAAAATTTCTTTTCACAGAGATATAAACTAAAATATTTATTCTTTAAACTGAATAAGCTAAATTCAGAAGCGTAAAATCTGATAATACTATCAAAACTAAAATATACTGTAATCATAAACATCTTTATTCTGTATATTGCATTTCTAAAATCTGATAAGCTATGTAATACTAAAACATCACACCAAAAATGTACCATGAATAACCATACTCATGAATCGATTAATCTCGATATACATAACAAGGTTATTCAATTGTGAAATTCTGTAATTCTGGTCATACACGCGCAGAGCTATAAAATGGTCATACACTATGGAAACACATTCACAATAGTGCAGAGCGGGTAAAATCACTATACTGATCATACGCTATGGAAACACATTCACACCAGCGCAGAGTGGGTAAAATAACCATATGAAGTCATACATTGTGGAAACACATTCACACCAGTGCAGACGAGAGTAAAATCACCTAGGTACTTCCTGGTGGTTTTTAGAAAATAACTGTAAATATGCTGAAATATTTAATACTCATATAACATGCTAATAAAATAATTTACTAAATTGAATTTAACTTTTAAAAATAACTGGTTATAAATCAACTTTATTCTGAAAATTGTGTTGTCAAATCGACTGTACAAATTAATAAATTTTCTAAGTTAATATAAATTAAATAAATACTAATTTCTGAAAAATAAGCTTATCCACTCACATAATACAAGCTGGTCCTAAGATGGTCGATAGGCTATGCCAATCTCCTCATCACCACCTGGAATACATAACAAGATGACTAATCAACCACTATTAAATTAAGAAACTTTAAGATCTACTTCTATAATACTTAACTAAAATTGATCGATACTCAAATGAATTTCCCAAATATTCTTTTGATCAATTGGAGCTAATCTCACTTTCTAATCCCTTTTCTAATAACTAATTCATCAACAAAACCTTCTTCCCAAGTTTAAAACTAATTTTACTCTCCAATCAAATGAAACTAGTAACCATAATTCCACCAATTTAATATACATTTTGTTCCATAAAATCATCTCCCAAGTGAATAATTCCATTAATGTAATCATTCCCACAAATAATCTATGCTCAATCATCAAATTTAAATACTAGGGTTTGCCCAAAAAAAATGGGGGATTTGATAAAAAAGCCTAGTCAAACAATGATTTTGATAAAATAACCTTCCTTCAATGTTTCTTGGTCAAATGGCCTTCATTTAGAAAATACAATAAACAAATAATGTCAAATATCTAAAATACCCTCATCATGGAAAATACCCAAATACCCCTTTCAATCCAATTAAATCCCTTAATTCATCTACAAAATGCATTAACCTGTTTTCCCTGTGATTTCTTCCCTAAAATCTTGATATTCATTGTATTTTTCTTCTATCTTCTCCAACATTGTGAGCATTTGAACAAGAATTTTATTATGTATATTATCTACATTAAGATTTCCACTATATTTAAAGAAAAAAGAAAGGTATTTTTAGAAATCTCATTTACATTGGTACTTTTATTGTTTAATATAGTATAAAATGATATTTTAATTGATTTTATTTTCTCATTTGGTGTATATTTGTATCGTCCGCAACTATTGGACGATAACGATTGGAAACGACAGTCCAGTCGTTATCTGTAGTGTAGAACGACACTACAATCGTTATCCTCCATGTAAAGTGATAGTACAACAATTATCTGTGATGATCTGTCTCTTATTGATAATATATTGTGGTTACTTTGATAATTTAAATATTGTAACTATTTTCATATTATTTTAATATATACTTGAATCGATGAAGTCATAATGATAGATATTTATTTTTTGTTATAACAAAATATCACGGTACCATTTCGAGTATTTTACCTAAAAAATATAGAAATGATGTTTAGATATTAAATATCATTGATCTAGTAACAATTTATTTTTAAATATACAAGTTATCAATTATTCGTATCGTGTTTACATAAGTAACGACACTTGTGCTGTTTTCATAACAGTAACATCACTAGTGTTGTTCTCATTTTTCATGTTGTCCAAGCAATGAGAGTATCTTTCAAATTATGTGAGCGGCATGTCCATTTCGCAAATTACATGAGTTCAAATTATGGAATATCGAGGTCTGGAAGGCGTGTGACTGCTCATACTCGTGTTTATCGACAGAACGACACAAGTGACGTTTAATGGCATCTATGTTGTTTTGTTGGTTTCTCCTATATTTCGCTTTATTTTCACCGCGTCGACCTTAAGGATCGGGTCTCCTAATTTAAGAAAGTCAAAATTATTAATTACATAACAAATAACAGAAGAATTGGCATAG